GGCGGGCGGGCAACAGGCGGGCGGGCAACATGATGGCAGTCGGTAAGAAGTAAGATGAGAGCAGAAACGATAACAGCAAGCGAAAGCAACAGCGCATCAGAAAACAGTAGCGAAGGATCTAAGAGCGGATCAGCAGAGTGCGTGGCGCGACAAGAAGGAGACATACTCTGAAAACATACTGTCTAACAGTTCTTTTCTTGCCATCTCTTTCGTGCTTTGAGGGGCGTGATACGAAACGATATGCAATCCCGTACCACGACCAAATGGCCGTTAGCTGCTTCGTCGTGGAGCGAGGGAATCTGCACGCAGAGTGAGCAGTCTGGGCACTCGTGTTTAACGCCTGACGGCGACAGCCCTTATTTATGGAGCCGCCGACTGCGCGCAGATATTTCAGCGCGGCGCCAGAGCCTAATTCGTGAAGTGGTGGGCGAGACTTATCTGTGCCCTGTAAAATGGTAGTTCAGCGTGAGGCGACTTTCATGCGAGACTTCAAGATACGCACACAGGTGCTCAGGATGCTTTCACGCCTTCTTGTATGCTGGAGGGAAGTGATATAGTCAGCAATGCATACAAGACTCGGACCAATCAGCTGGCACGAGATCCGTTTGGCGCCAGACTCTAGACTCCGGCGTCAGAGTGCTTCCGCACGTCGGTCGGTCAGTACCAGGCGAGGTAGAACGGAGACAATGTGGCAAGTCGAGGGAGCGTTGCGAGCGAGACGGCGGGGATACGACAACACCACTAGCTGCACCAGCGGGTGTGGGCTTGATGTGCACCAGAGGCAGTGGAGACGCCCCATCGGCGGTAAATTGCAACTGGTGACGGCAACAATGCAGCCCTCGTTTGCTGCTAGACCGAACTCGACGGCGCCGGCCTAGCGTTGCGTGTCGCGGCGAAGAGTTGCTTCCTGATGCGCAGCATCGACCGCGAGTGTATTGCGAAGGTCGGACGGTTCGGGTCGCGCTTCATGCGACTTGAATAGTCCTTGGGTATATGTGTGCGGGTACGTCCAGCATGGCCGCAGAAAGGAGAAGGGAGGTAACGGAGACGGAGGCGTGGTGGGGACGGAGGAGGCGCGCGCGCGCCATGATGGGATATAGTGGTGGTGGTCACAAGCAAGTCGCGACCCGCGACCTGTCTCATCTTCGCACGCTTAACGCGTTCTGCAACGCCGCCGAGTCGCCGACGCGACTTGGGTGCGCTTGCCTTCCAACTCGACGCGTGTTAGTTACGCGTCGTGAGCGCGTCGGGCGCAAGTCAGCACACCGTATGACTATCGCCATATTTCCTTACCTTACGTGGCACGAAGTGAGCACCACAGCCTTCTGTATCGGGTCGTCCCTCCTCGTCTGTGCGAGCATAGGCGAATGGTACCGAATAGCATCGTCTATAAGTATGCGTGGTCAGCACTCGTCAGCAGCTCGCGTTACGGTAACGGGCTTGGCTAGCGACAGTGCATCTGGCTAGCGAGAGCTAGCCAACACCAGAACCCGCCCTGCCGACCAGTCTATGCCCGGCGCGAAATTGCTCTCATGATGGCCTCATGAAGGCAGTTTCGGGCCGCTCTTACAGTGCCTATCCAACGCGGTGTATTCATTGCGCGCGTCACAATGGGAGCCGTTCCAAATCGGTCTCGCTACGTCTGTTCCAATACGGTTCGCGCTGCAATGGGACTGCTCCCAGAGTGCCTAGAGTATTGGAATGCGGGCGTTGCATTGGAGGCCGTCTCGGACCGCTCTCACAGTGCCTATTAAACGCGGCGTATTCGAATGCGCGCGTTACAATGGGAACCGTTTCAAATCGGTCTCGCTACGTCTGTTTCAATGCGACTCGCGTTGCAATGGGAGCCGTCCCGGACTGCTCCCAGAGTGCCCAGAGTATTGGAATGCGGGCGTTTGGACGCGGCCATTGCAATACCAGAAGCCGTCTCAAACTATTCTTACAGTTCCTGCTTCAACAAGGCATATTCGAAAATGGGTATACTAACGAACATCGCAGTTGGACGATTACTTGTATAGGGGTGCAGTATTCGAAGACATGTCCATCCACGACTACTTCCGCGACACGTACGAAACGATCAAGGGAACGGTAAAGCCGCAGGGAAGTGCAGGGGGCGGAGAAGCAGACGGCGAAGATGGTGGTGGGGGAGGGAGTGAGAACGAGGAGAGTGACGATGCAGGACGACCGCGACATGAACGCACACCATACATGTCCCAGCACCCGAAGAGCAGGACGCATTTGCGCATTCGGCGCGGCCGCGATCGGAACACTCTTGTAAACTTCATCGGCCGATACTTCATCAGTCGCGAGGACGAAGATCAGCACGATCTATACTGCGCGTCTATGCTCATGCTCCTGAAGCCGTGGTGATCAATTGAAGATTTGCGTGACGATGGCCAATCGTGGGCAGCCGCGTTGGAGAAGCTCTGCGAGGGACATCCGTCGGTGGAGCGCAAGTTGTCGGCGATTGAGCACTTCCACAGCTGCAAAAACACGGCATCCGCCGGGGAAGAGAGCGCCCCGGACTACCAGGCAGAGGGATCAGGTGCTGGTGCTAGGCAAAGAGTGTCAGAGGACGATGCTCGGAGTTCAGACGATGAAGACTCTCACGACGTAACATCACTATCACGGAGGACATGATCGCGCACGCCTTGTCCGGTAAACAATCGCTGGCAGCTCTTACGGAACATGGACGACAGGCCGTCGCACTCGCGCGAGAGGCGGGTTTCTCAAGGGTTTCTTCACATCCTCGGCTTCATCAAACACGGCCGCAAGCCGGAACGTCTCCCAGTCGGTACCGATCAAACCGACGGTGCAAGTGGGTGACGGAGGGGTGGCTGCGCGTGTGTTGAACTGGAAAAAGGAGATGAAGGATGCGGTTGCGGCGTTGGACGCGGCGGCATCGTCACAAGGCCGGAGTGGTGAGCGAAACTGTTGAAGAAGGGCGCGTACACAGGCATCGCGGCGTCGTTGATTTGCGGAAAGTCCATTCATACGATATGCGCCATCGGTCTCAAATGGACGGAGGACTTGAACAACGCGAGCGAGGCGCGGTCGATGGAGTTCTGGAGGGAGGCCGAATACCTGATTCTCGACGAGTTCTCGATGATCGATTCGCCTTTCCTGGCACGACTGGCACGTCGCCTCGCAGTCGTGAAGACCAAGATGGACCCGTCGTGCAGGGACCTCCCGTTCGGTGGCGTGAACATGATCATGTGCGGTGACCCGTTTCAGCTGCCACCCGTCGCCCGAGCAAATTGCGCATTGTGGAACCCGTGCCCGCGGATCGCAAGATTAGCGAGGGTGCAGTCCTGGGCCGCAAGTTGTACGATATGTTCGAGACGGTGGTGATGTTGAAGCAACAGGCCAGGGTGACGAATGAGCGCTGGAAATCGTTCTTGAGGAGGTTGAGGGTCGGGGCGACGAGTGCGGATGACGTGGAGATGTTGAGGGGACTTGTGCTGCGCAATGGGGAGAGAGGGGACGTGGCCGCAGGAGAATGGTCGGATGCGGTCTTGGTGACGCCGCGCCATGCGGTTCGGCGGCAGTGGAACTCGGCGGCGCTCGACAGCCACGCACACAGGACAGGCGCACAAGTGTACGAGATCCCGTGTGAAGACGCCATCCGGTCGCGGCAATTGACGATGAAAGAGCGTTTCGCAGTGGCGTGTCGACGGGAGAATGACAAGAAGATGGGAGGGGAAGGAGGCAAACTCGACGACGTCGTGGAAGGTCGCGGTGGGGGGCAAGGTCATGGTAATCATGAACATAGAGACAGATCTGGACATGACGAACGGCACAAGAGGCACGATCTGTGACATCGTGCTACACGAAGACGAGCCGTTGAACATGGTGGACAGGCGGGTGCGCCTACGACACATGCCGTCGTACCTACTTGTTCTACTCGAGAACACACGGTTACCGCCACTTGAAGGTTTGCCCCGATCTTCCCGACGATGAAAGGCTTTCAGATAACGGTGGGCGGCACAAAGAAGCGAACGGTGCAGAGAACGCAGTACCCTATCACGCCCGCATATGCATTGACAGACGTCCGGTCGCAAGGGCAGACAATACCGCGTGTTGTCGTCGACCTGGCTCTGGCACCGGGCATGAGGTCATACAGCCTATTTAATGTGTACGTGGCCCTGTCGCGGAGCTCAGGACGGGATGCGATAAGGCTACTATGGGAGTTTGAGGAGAAGACAGTTACGCAGAGGCAGGACGAGAGGTTTTTGCGGGAGATGGACAGGCTCGAGGGTTTGAACGAGCGCACGAGAAAACGGTACGAGATAGCGAGACGGGAAGAACGGCTGCACATCGCACACGAACAACAATAAAATGTAGACTGCGGGCAGGGTATGCGAACGGGGGACGAGCGGGAGTGAAAGAAAGGAGTACGGGCGCAGGTTTCACATCCCACGTAAATGTGCCTAGACTCGGCTCTTGCCGGGGTCATAGGATCCGCTGACAGATGCTTGCGCTCACCTCGAGTCGTTTGTCGTCTTCGCACCTCCATCTCTGCTCACTATCCCGCGACAAACTCGCCAACTGTTGTTTTATATTACACCTTGTCCCCCATGCACACCCAAGCGTGCCCTTCTACGTACACCCATGCGGGTCGCTCTACACACACACCACCTACGTACGTGAACGCTCGCTTGCCCATCGTCTATCCATCTCATCCCTCACAAACACAGACCGCGTCCTCTCCAGCCACTGCCGATTCCTTGAGTTCTGCCGCTCTGCCTCCCATCATAAACGATATTCTGTCGTCTGCATCTCCCCTCCGCTCCCTCTTCCTCGCTCCCGACACTAATCATTCGCAACACTCTCCCTCTCACATGGCATCATGCGCACTCAGTCTTCCATCGTTGCCTCCGACCGTGTCGTCCTCATACAGCGCATCCTGTCTGGTGCATGTTTCTATTTCCCTCATGGCCCCCTCCCCCTCCCCCTCGACTATATTTCCTTGTCCAGTCCAAACCATACACATCTCTCCTCACCTACGTGGATAATCTGCTCAGGATCATTTGCGCCGCGAAATCGCCCCTTGTTCATATACGCACAGTTGCCTCTGCCCTAGACTTGCCTCCCCTCACCCGTCGTGAGTACATACGATCCGATCTTGTTGATTATAAATTAATCGCTGTCGCTCGCGCTTCAGTGCACAATATGCCTGCCCATATCCCTTCGTCATCGAGCACTTCTACACAACCTGTACCTGGTCCTTCCCAACTTTGAGATGACTTCGCCTCTCTCGTGAACCAGATTGAGACGATGAAGCTACCCGATCTTCTGTCTCTCGCATCCTCCCATGACGTTCGAGTCGGTGAAACTGCTACCGCCAATGCCCTACGCGACTTGGGTCAAGTGGCATGAGGCTCGACAGGTTGACGGCGTCGCTCGCAACTGGACTTGCCTGCCGTAGCGGGTCTTGCTGCTCGCGGCCCTATAGCAGTTATCGGGTGACAGGCAACTCAAAAGGGATCGGGTGTGGCGACACTAACTGACATTCGCCCGTAGATAGACGTGTTTCCTTGTACGCGTAGGGTACTACATGCGTATGCACAATATCATCTACTTACACCATCATGCTTCGCGCTTTTGTGTTCGAGCCCGTCCATCTCCAAACTCCCAATGATGTATCTCCGCCTCTGCGAGTTGTAAGTAATTCCTGCTTGTCCGGTAAGTGTACTCGCGCGCATCAAGCGTGCGATAGATCTGATCATGGAGCTTTCGACCGGCTGACAGGATGGCGAGGGTTTGAGTCGAGGTCAGTGCTCGCAGTCCACTGAAACGTCGTCCAGTACTGGTAACAGTATCAGGAAGGGCAAGCCTTCGAACGTAGTCGTAGTGCATTCTGCGTGCGGCGTGTCGCTCGGCTGTCAATCTGCTTTGCTCCCAAAACCTGGTCTCGTGAGCCCATTGACGGGCTTGGATGGACAAGGATAGCTGCAGAGACTGCCGGGCGTCGCTCTCATGTTCGCGTGCTCGCACACCCGCAATGGAGTTCGACTGCAATATCGCATCCAAGTTCTCGTGTTGCCACTGGTAAGATATCTAGAATCGAATGCATGCATTAACAGCAGAAGAGGCGCGAGTAGGATCAACAACGCACATGTCCATCGGCATTCTGGCCGTGAATCAAACATTGTAAACCGGCGCCACGCAGATGGGCCTCGTAATGACGCAGACCCACAATGTCGACAACTTGCTGAACCACCTCTCGACGTGCGCGGTAGCTCCCGTTGACGAGCACGACGAAATCGGATACGGTATCCTCCGTGATCATAGCGGTGTCCGTTGTATTAGTTGTCACGCAGTCTACCGCCTCCCGAGCCGTATCCGAAAGACAGACGAGATCCTCGATATGAGGGCAATGCGGGTATGGGCATTTCCAGATGCGCGCGAACGGAGTATATGTATGGGATGGGCGTATGGCCAGCTTTGGGCACAGGTCGGTAATGGCTTGGCGAATGTAAGGTGCCGTTTGAGGTTGTCGAGCGTGTGGGGGTATATGCTCGTCTCTGCTGACAAGAAAGATGTGTCGCGGCGAAGACAGTGGTAGTGTTATTGAGTCAAAACGAGGTAGATCATCCGGCCATCTAAGTTCCGCACTCTCCAGATCCTGAGAATGCCGGAAAGAGCTCGACACACGGGAGATGTGGCGAAGAGCGACATCAGTCTAGATCGGTCATGTGAATACAGTCAGAAACCTGAGACTGCCGCGATACGAACCATGTCAATCCAAGTAGCCGTATCATCGGGGGCGGGCTTCATCCAGGCAGGTTCATGTGCAAGATCAACATGATAATGCGCCTGGGGATCGCTTCCTTTGCCAGTCTCCATGACGGAAACGAAAACAAGGCAAGATGTGAGGGCGGGCGGAAGACAACCACACATAGGGAGTATAAGAACAAGCCAACCATCATGTGAAGTTCTACAAAAAAACACTGGATCGTGCGTCCTGAGGAGACCCGGAGCTAGCAATACTTAGTCTCCGGCCACCCTGCGAAAACCCTCGAAGCCATTATCATGTCATTCTCAAAGGAACTGATTGGTCATATCGTGCAGAAGCTCCTACACACGCATGTTGTTAGAGTTACAGCGAGCCGGGGGAGACAAAGATGATAGGTCCGATGGACAGGCGGTCGAGAGATCGAATCTGCATTCTTGAGCGAGAGATCGGCGCGAGGCGTTCTGCTATTTGAAATACGTTTGACAGAAGAATCACGTCAGTCTCCAACGCCACTGCGATGCGTTTCAGCGGCCCAAAGAGTCGACAACGTACGTGTTGGGCGTTGCAAGGCACTGCACCGGTCCATGTCAGTGAATAGGGAGCGCGCTGTCGAGGACCTTCAGCTTCTGATCGTTGTACCATTCCAGCTAGATGCCCGGAATGCGACCGGATCGGTGGCATGGATGAAGGGAGTGCACGCGCAAGTCTTTATACCTTCACGATTGAGGCAGCTCCTGTCGAGGTCGTTGGGACGTGTGGAAGTATGCTTCAGATGCGCGCAGACCACAGCATGAGCTGGAGGCAGCACGTAGTAGAGCCTTGCATCAGACGGTTCGAGATTACAGTAGAGAAAACATCATTTGGCGCTGGAGTCGGTGGACGTTAAGATTCAAGCGACGAATCTCATGCGTGGGTTGTGTTCGGACCTGACCGGACCGTGGCACCTTGGCCGTGAACCACCACGTACTTTGACCGTCCATGACGTTCCACGCGGAGGGTCCGTGCGTCCGAGCATCTGCAGAACAGTATGGGATCTTCACCACTGCTCTACCTACGCGGCGAACTACAGAGGCCAGCTGGGTGAGGCCCCATGGCGATATTCCGCTCTCGTCGCGTCTGACTATCTCGTCAAGCCTCTTCGGTCGTCGACTCACTCGCCCTCTTGCGCTCATCGCATAACCGACCTCATACCCTAATCCGGCGTGGACGGCACGTCGGTCTCTGGCGAACCGGCGCTTCCTCAGCGTTCTCGAAATTGCCCTGTCGACGCCACATTAATCGAGTTCTCAGGACAGGCGCCTTGGCTTTTTGGATATCCTTCTTTCGGTATGCAGTGCATCCTCGCACCATCCGCAACTGCTGATATGGATGGATAGTCGACGCCGAGAACACCCGGGCGGCACTTCTCTGGAGCCAGCTAGGCGCCGATCGCGCTGAACAGCCGCTCGTGCACATCGATCACAATATATCACTCCGATATCGGCGCGCGTACCCTTCTGAGCGTCGATGTGCGACGCCGGTATGCAGTCTGAACGGTCGCGTTAACGATGCAAACAAGACAAGACTCGGAGCCGACGTTGGCGAGTTCTAAGCCAGAGGTCTCACATATCCTTCATTCCGATGGCAGCGCGCGTAACCTCTCGCTGATATTCTGAATGGCCGCGCCAACCAAGCAATCGGGACCCGGGATCGACGTCGGCGTCCGTCGTCCATCACAACGACCCATGTGATGAACATGGGAGGGAGCGCTCCGAGGCATGCAGGGCTTTCTGATGAAGGACGGACGGATGAAGGACGGGCGTACAGCGTTGAGAGAGGGGCTGGGAGAAAAAGAAGCACAGGATGCGAGAGGGGAGGGAGGATGCCATTTCTGTGCCCGTGAAGATCAAATAATACACCCGCATTGGGACTCCTCGGCTCTCCTCGTCATTGGACCGCGACGATGCACGCCCGCGGGGTAGCAGCAAAGGTCAGTCAATTGCTCTTGTGCCACCCACCCAAGCTCACGTCTTTGTGTCTGTAACAGCTCATACTTGCGTCGCGTCTCTAGTGGGCGAGCAGGAGGCGTCCTTGCGCGGCGCAGGTTCATCGGACTCTCAGCGAACCGGGCGGTTCTGCGAGCCAAGAGTCGAGTACACGATCATATTCATTCCGTATAAATATTAGTGTTGGTAGATCGGGATTGGTACAAACTATCTCTCCTCAGCTTCAACTCAAGACTACTATACCCGGAGGAGCCGCCTCTTTCACTCTTGTCTGTTGGTGTCGGACGGCGTGGATTCATTGTACGTGCGAGTCAATGCCTGGACGCGGTCAGCAATGTACTGCCATGGCTATTTTGGCGTCATACCTCGATTGAAGGCAAACCGAGGGCCCGCGCTTGCAAATTGCAGCGGGCACCTAGCCGTGAACTACCAAAGGCCGGCGTTGCAGGCATCTCATCTTGATAGTTACAACCCGTGCCAGAGTGAACCAGACCGCCCTCTGGGTGACCATGTTGTCGACGATGACCGGAAGCAGCCAGCCGTTTGGTAGTGGTTGGGATGATAGCGGAAGCTGAGCTCTCATTCGCTGTAGACGCTGTGTTACAGTGCAACGCAACGTAGGCACGCTCGAGTATGGCGTCGTGAGTGAGAGCAGGTTCACATATGGTGGGTGCTCCCGGGACGCAACGTCTACGTCTCTTCAGCTTAGTGTCCTCGACGATGTCTTCGAGGAGAGTAGAAGGATGAGCTGATGCAGCGTCTCTGCCGACGCGGGGGTACTTTAAGTGACGGTCCAATTCTTCCACGATAGATCGATGGACCGTTGTGGCGGACATGCAGTACCTTCTAGCGCAGGCTGATATGTGCGACTCCTTCTTCGAGTGCGATTTCTTCGTAGTCCACTTGAGATTACAGCAGACGCAATATGAAAGCTTCGCGAGTTGCTTGTCCTTCAAGTCTCCGAACCATTCGGGTTTTCCCTTACGGGTGCCCCTGATTGCAGAGCCACCTCGTGCGTAGCTGACACTCGGCTTTGGGGTGGAGCGAGGAACATGACTATTCCTGCTCGGAGGGATGGTAGCGCCTTGTGCAGGTACAAAGGCAAACTGTTTCCATCGAAGGTGTTGTGCTTCGTCCTCTGAGCTATCGCAAGAGTGGTCATATAGGCCTAGTTTGCTAGGATGCGCAGGAGACAGAGCTCTGTCAGTACTCTGTACTAGAGTACCTGGTGAGTCTACAGAATGGAAGTCATCAGGCGAGGAGGGCAAAATCTGAACGAAGTGTGCATGCGCACGCGGTACGGGACTATTGACATCAGCGATTGGCTTGATCGCTGTCTTCCGACCAGGCATGGGTACTGCGACCATTCTCTCGTGTATATCTGAGTGCACATTCAGGGTAGTGCATACATCAAGGGGCCCAGTAATTTGACACGAACCCTTGTCATGAGCGAACATGCTCTGGTCCCGACCGTCCTGTACATCTCCTTTGCATAACTGCCTTGCGTTCCCGCGAGTTTTCATGTCCCCGCATTCTGTCATACATTTCCTCTCTGTCCTGCATCCGGAAGTCCTAGGTTGGTCGTCAAACATCAGTCTTGAGGATGACTGCGTAGATGCCACGCAGAGTTCAGGTCGTTTAGTCGCAGTGGGATGCCGTTGAATACGAGGGTTGTTGTTGGGAACGAGACGATAGAGAGGTATGCGGAGTTTAGCTGAAGTCGAATAGATGGGTTCGGCTCCGCGATGGTGGTTGGAGATACGGCACCCTGATTAGGGAGCGCCGTGACGCCGCGTCTCTGATATCAAAGCCGTCACATCTACTTTACATATGTTTCGATAGATGCAAAAGAGACCATGCTACTAGGTATCTTATAGCTTGAGGGGTTTCATGGTTCCTCTTGGCCGTTTTCTCCTGCTTGGGTGACGACCAAACTCTTCGACTCTCGCTGGTGTGAAGTACGTAGTACCGATCACAACTCATTTTCTTGTCAGACTTTCAGTTAGGGAGCGTCAAATGTGATGGCATTGAATAGCGAGTGAGCATGAAGTATAGTATGCGGGGGATCGAGACTGAGATGCGATGAAAGAGACGTGATCAGTTGCGACCTGAAGGGGAGCTCGTCACCGCAGTGGGGTCGGGCTGATCATCTGGGCGAACTGCTGGTTCCACGCCTCTTTGTCCTCGATGGTCGTCGAAGCTAGATTATAACGAATGACGCTGATTTCCCCGTCGGACAGATTCTGGTTCAGACAGTACACGAAGGCACTATGACCGGCGAAGCTTGCGGGGAACAGGGTGAGCCTGTTTCGAAAAACAACTACTTGATTTCTTACTCACACGTGCTGAACGAGAGAGATGCGTTCCTTAAAATGTCTTCCGTCGGCCTTGCAATCCCGGCCTGTCCTGGCATTGAACGGGCAAGTAAAATCTCCCTGCGACCGCTTGATCACTACCCGACGTTTTCTTTCCCGCTCTCTTCGAGTCGATGACTTGCGAGCCGCAGCTTTTCCCAATTCTTCTTGCATATGCTCGGGGAGGTGCTGATGGGACAACGCAGGCTGTGGCGATCGGTCCGGTGTGAAGCCTATGTCTTGTCCTGAGTGGGACAGCTTGAAAGTTGATAAAATAGAAAAGCTCACCGACGGTTTCGACTACACCAGGCGGCGAATCATCGACCATGTCGATGTCAGACTGAGGGGTTGTGTGTCGTTCATGTTCTGCTTCGCCGTCTGAGAAGCTGCCAGGAAGCGGCAGGTTAACTTGTGACGTCTCAAATGTACTTCTCTCGTCTGTTATCGTGTCAGTTATGAAGAGCGAGATAACTTAAAGCTGGGCGTTACCTGCAGCAATCCTGGCGGGAGCACGTAAGCAATAAGGAGCAGCGGAGATCCTCGACACCCATGGGTTACTATCCGGGTCTGAGCGCGCCAATTGGAGCTCTCGTAGCTGAGAACGCTGGAGATACCACCAAGACATGCAATTCAACTGCAAAACATCCTCTGACTGGAGCTCTTCAGCGCCCTTACGAGTAAGAAGTCGATGTTCTCGAAGTTCACGTCCAATCTTGACCGAAGACTCGGTATTGAAGGGTGTCACATAATCCTTCGCGATCTTGATACAGGGAGAGTTGTTCGCAACCTGCGAGTTCTTCAGTAACTGTGTGATGCATGTATCACACTCAGACAAACTTGGTGAGGGACACCCACGGGAATGACCACGGTCTCCCCCTCCAGCTGCTCGAAGCGCGCAACACGAATGCGGTCGTGACGCAGACGCTCCACGTCATCATCCGTGAGAGAGATGGTCTGCGCATGGATTGGATGCCCAGCAAACTGGCCTCGCTTCTCACGGCGCAGCCATGCAGTTGCAGCATCCATGTCATCGCGATGAATCGTGGTCCAAACAGCCCCGCCCTTTGAACCGTCGCTACGGCGCGCGTTGAAGCAATGATTGATAGCGTCCGTCATGTCGCAGTGGAGTAACGTGCTAAGACCCCCTGCTGCCCCATGAGCAAGATATCCTTTTGGGCCTACGATCATGTGAGTGAGTGCATTCGGTTAAAGCATGTGCTTAACGGCATACCCGTATCGGGAGGACAGGAGCCTTCAGGCATCCCAGATTCCAGATTGAGATTTCCTTCCATCGTAGTAACATCCGGTCCTGTCAGATGCCCCTCGAACCAGCGATAGAGACCAGGAAACTTGAGGCGAAAGTCGGAATCAGGCGGCCAATCCTACGATAGAACTTGAGTGTCGATGAAAGAGGTGCGGATGTTGCGAGCGATACCTTCACTTTGAGCGGTGGATCCTGTAACGACGCGTCAGCGAACGTCGCCAGGAACTGCCCGAAATCTTGTTCTTGCGACTCGCCAGTCGTGGTATCTATAACCTCGACCTTCTCCTTACCGAAATTGCGTGCAAGGTATCCGGGCGTCAGAGTATGTTCGTCTTGATCCAACCCTGAGATAACGGTGGGGACACCAGCAGCAAGCGCCCTGCAAAATTGTGAATAAGATGGTGAACCAGACCCATCGGTAAGCGTGAATCTGATAGGACCTCCGTCTTGACATGGAGTCCAATCAAGAGGCCGTTCACTAGGAGCTAGTCAATCTCTGCCTACAAAAGAGGTCATGGTCAATTACGGAGGTTTTGCTTTGCGCATCACTTCCAGCGCTCGTTCCGCTTCTTTGGGTCGAAACACCTCCACGAGGACCATTCGGTGGAACATTCTATCTGTGCATGGTACTGGCTATACGCCTAATCAGGATGTCTCATACCACACAAGTAAAATAGAGCCGCACCTGTTCTTCCTCCATACAGAGGTAACAAAGCTCGATCCCGCATATCGAACACAGACGAGATGCGCATAAGATAGAAGACTTGCACCAGTCTATGATATTGCATCAGGTGCGACTCTATGACATAAAGGGGCGAATGTAGAGATACGAACCGCAGGTGGACCTTTTGCCATCTAAAGGAAAGGGCCGCTTCACCACGGATATGCCCGGCTGTCCCCGCAATGACAGGTGCCATGTGATCTCGCGCTCGAGCACCTTCTTACAACCCTCCTACAGGACACAGTCAGCAGTCGTCTGAGAAGGTAGTATGGTACGTACAAGGCATATGTGAAGAGCAGGGTCGGCCTGGTGGAAAGGGCCGCCTTTCCAGATCGGATCCGCACCGACACTGAGATCTAGAAGACGCACGTCCAGCAGTTGCGCGTCGGCGGAGAATACGATGATTCTCTTATGGACTAGTCGAGTATCCGTATGAACGACCTTCGTATTGCATGTGATCGATATAGAACGGCTTACTGAATAGGCAAATTTCTTTGTCTTCCGTCTCCTTCGTCTTGCGCCTCCGATGCGAATGTTCTGTTCTCTCTCTTTCACGACAAAGGACGCAATACCCGAAGCTGCGTATCACATCCATCATCGTAATAGTCATGGGCTTTTTACTCCTCATTCTGGTACAGAAAGAGGTTTGATGATACTCAATCACGTCGGACGGAGCCATTGCGCGAGGGAGTTGAGGTTGGTCGTGGTGGTCGTGGTGGTCGTGATGTGACGCTTGCTTTGGCCCTCGCTCGCGGTTTCTTCGGCTTTACACGCGATCCTGCGCGGTACGAACTCGCCCTACAAAGCCCAGGTACTATGCTTCCAACCCTAATATAGCTCTACGAAGGCTTAAATACAGCTGAGAGTGCTGCTGGACCGAAGAGAGAGGATGGGGAAAGGCAGGGTAAGCCCTTGTCTGGCCGATAACCGCGACGGCGCGCGGGCATCAAACGCGGTTTGGAACTGAAGAGAAACGGCGAATACCCCGACGAGGGTCACATTTCACTCGTCGCGAAGAGCCAACGGTGCAAGGCGGATTGGGACTGTGTGCAATGTAACATATACAATCGTCATCTATATACGGGTGTGATATTTACATGCGAGACGAGAACGGGACGAAAGAAAGAGTTGGGCGGGTAGGTACGAAAACCAGAAGATCCTACACGGAGAGAACAGTGGGCCTCCAGACAAGAGGATGGAGGGAGGACGTGG